GCAGGTAACAGGAAGTCAACTGAGACACTGGGCCATATCATGAGCTTAGGGACCCTCACCCCCACCCCCCGCAGTGACACACTTCCTCCAACAAAGCCATGAGCACCCCAACAAAGCCATACCTCCTAACAGAGCCTAAGAGTGCCCTATGAGATTATGGGGGCCAATTGAATTCAAACTACCTCAGGGTACCTTTCACTCTTGATTCCTCGTCTCCATAGCACACCCTTCAGGACCTTCAAGCCTGGCAGTCATATCTATACCTTCATGTCACATGCAAGGTCTTGAGTCCCATTCCAGGACACACACACACACACACACACACACACACACACACACACACACAGGCAAAATCCTTTGCACCATCACTCACCACTACAACTATCATGAGACATCACCATACCAAACGTCATTGGAATTAGAGTCTCCTTCTGATTATTGTCAAGGATGATGTGCTGTCTGTTCTGACCGTTATCTCTGGATTGAGTTTTATCTCAAGCTCCAGATCAATAATAGTCAGTCTTAAAACTTTAGAGGTGAATCTGAGACAGGAAGCAAAACAAGAACCTGGTTAGGAAATGGTCTCGGGAGACTTGTTTTTTCCAGTCCCAAAAAAGAGTTGACAAAGCCCCTTACCCATGTGCTGAGCTGACAGCAATTCCCACAATGATGACACTCAGAACAGCCACTGTCCCAAAGGAGTGGAAATAAGAGTTCATTGAATTTTGAAGAGCACTTATTAGTGAGTTTTTTAAGGACTCACTAGCGTTTCATTCCCAGCACGGAAGTGCAGGCCAGTGTCTCTGTTTCTGAAGCCTGTGAAAAGCTCAGAATTAGTTTTATGGCAAGTTCAAGAGGCAGTGAGGAGAAGCCGCTACCATCTTGAAGCTATGTGCCATGAAGGAGTCTCCCAGCTCTTCTGAGAAATGCAAACAGCGTGCCTCATACCAGACCCTGCTGTGTGCTCACCATACACTTAACAGAAAGATGCATGCTTAATGAGCTTTTCTCTAAGAATGTCCCTCCTTAAGGAGCGGGGGTAACACACTTCACCTCAATACAACAAAGCATGATTTCTTGCATAGCAAAAATTGAACTCATAGAAATGCGTGATTGGATTAAGAGAGTACAAAAGCTTTTGGAGCCCTGGACATGGGGGAGACTTTGTCTCAGTTTAAAGATTTCCTGGAGGGGCAATTACAGAATTACCGAGAAGCAGGGACGTGACCTTTGCCCTAAGCTGATCTTTAAGCTTTCCTGGTGTCACAGAGGCACCTGCCTTCGGCACCATCTTGATTTTCTTTCTGCTTATCTGGATGTGCTGTGTTGGGCTTTTGTATTATTCACAGGCTTTGTAAGAACAAATAAAGCAGGTGTGCATTTTCCTCTTAGAATTCATTAGGAGAAGATGAGAGATTTTAATTATGGAAAAGATCGATTGATTTGACCACATTAAAAATTAAGCAAGGGCTAGGGGCATAGCTCAGCAGTAGAGCACCTGCCTAGAATCTCCCAGTGAGGGGCTGGGGTGTGGCTCAGTGATAAAGCTCCTGTCTAGAATCCCCCAGTGAGGGGCTGGGGTGTGGCTCAGTGGTAGAGCACCTGCCTAGAATCTCCCAGTGAGGGGCTGGGGTGTGGCTCAGTGATAAAGTTCCTGTCTAGAATCCCCTAGTGGGGGGCTGAGGTGTGGTTCAGAGGTAGAGCTCCTGCCTAGAGTACCGGAGTCAGGGGCTGGGGGAGTGGCTCAGACACTGAGCGCTTGCTTAGCATCAGCAAGGCCTTAGGTCCTTCCCAGGATATATATATATATATATAAACAAACAGGCAAAATCCTCTGCACCACCCCCTAATTAGGAGGCAAAGAGTAAATTGGTAAGATCCATATGACACCCCAACCAACAGATGGATGTCACTAATACTCAGGAGAAAGTGGATTTGGACTCAGTGACCCTAGGGATTCAATTCTGTTAAACAAGAACATAAGAATAGCTAATGCCAGCAAACCCTACCCTTAAAATCTGACTTTCTCCCCCTCTTCGTACAACTTTTTAGCTTTAGAAAAAAAATAAGATGCTGAAGTCCCAGTAGGACAATAAAATGGGCAAAGGACAAATATTTGATAATGAAATAAAAAAAATGTAACCCAAGTAGGGCAAATTAAGGAGACACCGAGATAAGATGTTTGCTTAATAAATTGTCTGTTTGAAAAAAAATTAATATTCTCTGTTGGAAAAGTTTGCAGGGAAATGGGTATCTTTACACACAGCAGGTAGGATTTGTAAATTAGTTAAAACTTCCCGAAGGCAATTCTATAGACATTACAAAAATGTATTACAAAATTACACATCCTCTGACTCACATCCTTGAATTAAAATTTATTTCTAAAAGTTTACCTCAGGGGATCGATGGGAGATACGTGCGAAGATTTCTCTATCGGAACACACACCACAGTGTATTTTATAATAGAAAGCATCTTTATAGCGTTATGGAGTTATGGTAGGGATTTTTTAGGCACGTGGTTTATTATTACTGTCTTTCTTTCATTCCTATTTCTAATGTAGAGAAATGTCTGAGGACCTGTGAGGAGCACGTGTCTCAGAATGGCCCAGCTGTCTGCTTTGCCACCACCGGGACAGCTCCCTGGGTTAGGGGCAGCCTTGGGCATTCCTTCCTTCTGCTGTTCCATCCACCTAACCAGACAGACAGCATCTGGGAAGAAACTTCACTTTCTTTGGCCTCCTTCACCACATGGCTGAGTGCTTGGCTTAGAATATGGGTGGAAAGTGTCAGGCTGAGTAAAAGATCACATTCTGTCTCTTGTCCCTCAGCCTGCTGGACACAAGGTGGACATGGTTTTGATAGAGTTAAAGGTTGTTGAGAACCCTGGTGGGTTTGAGGGGAACTTGACTCCAGTTCTCTGCAGGAGTGGTATGCATGCTTAATGGCTGAGCCATCTCTCCAGTCCCAACATGATTGTTACTAATTTGGGGGTCACCGGGATAATAATATGCTTGGGGTCACTCAGCTACCAGATGCAACATCCAAGGCACTGAGCCACCAGACAAGCTCCACTCTGGGCCCACAAAGAGAGTAAAGTTAGAGCAGAGTCCAAGCCCAGCAAACCAGTATGACAAGGTCTTTTGAAGAGCAGACAGAGAACATGTACTAACCTTCTGTCTACCCTTTGCCTTACAATTCTTTCTACACCTATAGCCAGAATGTTTCTGAAAACAACAACAACAAATAATAATAATCCTAGGCAACTCCCCACAGCCCTCCCTGCAGTGACTTCCCACAGCAACAGACCCCAACTCTTCAAGCCCCCTTCTGCCTCTAACTTCAAACCTTCACCCTAGTTTACAGATCTCTGTTTCCCTCTCAGATATCCCTGCGTGGGCATACAAATTAGCAGAAGCAAAGCCATTTCATAATGGTAAAAACCCCCCATGGGAAATATTATTTTATCAACCAACAAAATTTCCTAGATACAAGACAGGGGTGTCAGAACTCAGAACTCTCTCTTGGGCTCAGAAGTGGCCTCTCAGAGACACTGCTGGGAGCTCATCAGACCCAAAGTGTTTGAATCTGGTCAATTCAGTCCAGTTCAATGATCAGTGATGCCTACCTGCTACCTGGCTTGCAGACTGTGAAGAACAGGGCTGTGAACAAGCCCTTGCTTTAGAGAATGTACAGCCTTGTTGTGGAGCATCCTTTGTACCCTGCTCTCAATAACAGAAGAACCATAATAGCAGCTAATATTTATTATATGTCTGCAAGAGGCTGGAGTTCTGGTAAGGACCCATTGGTTACTTATTTACTTATTTAGCTTAAGTTTTGTTGGTTTAGCGATTGAAATCTGCCCTGGCATATGCCAGGTAAGCATTCTACCACTGAGTTCCAGCCTTGGGCCCAGTGAGTGTTTCACTCTCCCAACTAACTACTGGCTATGATTTTCATCTGCCCTCTTAAAGAAAAGGGAACTGAGGACCAAGTAATATATGTCTGTATGGTGGGCTGGTTAGTTTCATTTTTGTCAACTGGATGCAAGCTAGAGTCTTTGAGAAAAGGGAATCTCAACTGAGAAAATGCCTCCCTCAGATTGGCCTGGTGGGCATGTCTGAGGGCCATTTTCTTGATTGATGATTGATGTAGGAGAGTCTATCCTACTATCCCAAGGTGGTGCTATCCCTGGGCGGGTGGTCCTGGATGATATAAGAAAGCAGGCTGAGCAAGCCCTGAGGAATAAGAGAGTAAGAAATATTCCTCAGTGGCCTTTGTTTCAGTTCCTGCCTCTGGGTTCCTGCCTTGAGTTCCTACCCTGAACTCCCTCAGTGATGGACTATAAGCTATAAGTAAAATAAACCCCTTTCCTCCCCAAGTTGCCTTTGGTCCTGGTATTTATCGCAGGAATAGAAAGCAAAATAGAAAGCCACATGACCAGAACTGAGTTGTGTATTTCTACCTTACAGGAAGGTGGCTAATGCCAGTGGAAGACACCAGACTCTCAGAACCAAGATGAGTAATTCCTTGAACCCCATTCTTCTCTCATGGAGATAAGGACTTCTTGCTGGGATACCCCATTACCTTTCCAAACCTGTTCTCTTGGTTCCTTGTGGCGGTGTCTAAGTCACTGTGATGTTGTTGAATAGAGAACCCAGCCTTCTTTGCATCTCAGGATGAGCACATGTACACTTAAACCAAGCACTCTGGACAGTTGCATACATTTGAAATCCTTAAGTAATCCACATTATATTATACATGTTCATCCCATCATCTATAAAAGTCATATAAAGATGGACGCATAACTACTAACTGGACTACATTTTATAAATGTAACATAAGGAATATCAGTTAGTATATTTAAGGTGGGCTATTGGCAGTGAGCTTCATGCTTCCATTTTGTCCCCATTTTGACCCTTTCTGACTGACATCCTTGACCCTGAAGCTTGGAATGCAGCATGGAGCCTTCCTGTTCCCAGTTCCCCTGAGTGCTCTCTTACCATTGCCAGTGGTATGACGCCAATCAAGTCCTTCTGGCTCACATAGATCTTGGACACCCCCAAGTCAGACGTGATGTCCCCCGGGTATTCAACCTGCCATGTGACAAGCTGTGTGGTGGGTGGGTCACTGGGCCCTTCAATCTCGATGTCGATCTGCATGACTTCGTAGGAGGCACCATCCGCACTGTGGAGTAGGAACGAAAGAAAACAGAGGTGAGTGACGGAGAGGCGGAACTCACCCGGGTCGGTGTGGATTTTCACCGGCACCTGTGCTCGGGTGCTCCAAGCCTTGAGCAGTTTAAGGACAAGCCACCAACTGCATGCTTGCCAGCCCTCTGACATCATCATTTAAGGGTAGTTCCTTCTTTTAAGCTGTTCAGCGTCTCCAGGACAGTGGCTGTCCTAAACACTGTCTAAACACCCTCTGACCCATTTTTCCACCAAGAATGGCTCTTTCTCCGACTTCCAGAAACATCTACACCGTCTATGTTGGTCTTAGCTCAAAGCCACAGATGCACAGATTTTTAAGGGTGCCATGGCTTTGTATTCCACTGATAGTAGGGCAGCATTGCAGGGAAACAGAAGACAGGCAAGAGTGGGGGTTCAGGGATCAGCCCACCACTGATAAACATGGAGACGTCATCAGCTATCACCTGGCGATGGGAGTGGCTGTAACAGATGCTAGTTCTAGACATCTTAGTTCCCATAAGAACATCTCTGGCTGGGCAGTGATGGCGCACGCCTTTAATCCCAGCACTCAGGGGGGGATCTCTGTGAGTTCGAGGCCAGCCTGGGCTACCAAGTGAGTTCCAGGAAAGGTGCAAAGCTACACAGAGAAACCCTGTCTCGAAAAACCAAAAAAAAAAAAAAAAAGAGAGAACATCTCTGGAAATAGATCCAGGCTCGATGACCACAACTATTTTAACAGCCTTTGGCTACTTTCAATAACTGGCTCCTTTCGCCTTTTCAAAGTTTCTTTCGAGGACAATGTCTGCTCTTCGAGATGGCAGGTGAGAAAGAAAATGGTTTCATGCCAGCCTTTCTTGAGGGGAAGATGAAAGAAGTGTAGGTGAGATCTCAGAGGGGTTATCTGAGAGGGGCTCTTAAAGTATAAACTAACATTAGCCAACAGCTATGTATCTAGCGGCTCAAGTTTTACATCTTCCCAAAGGTGCCTCTGAACACCAACATTTGCTATTATCATCCAAGGTGCTTTTTCATAGAGGACCAATTTATGGAAACATTCAATCTCTCACTTGGAAAGAGCCACCGTGAACACACAAGGTTAAGATGGCTGATTGGAGATCATGAGGCTGAACGAACAAAAGCCAAGATAAAAGCCACCAATACAGAAACAAGAGAAAGACCCACAGAGAACAGAAACAAGGGAGGCAGAGGAAGGTACCCCCACCCCACCCTCACCCCATTCCATGCCAAGACACTCTCACTGTGTTGGGTCCTGCTCAAAGCATGTGTTCCAGAACAGTGGGGCTCAGCTATCACGAGAGCCTGGCAGTTTGGATGCAGGAAACTCAAATCAGAAGCTGAATTCAATGTTTCAGGGAGGGAAATGGGGAGGTGGGCAGAGCACAGTAGGCTGTGGACACAGTACCAGAAGACAGATAGAGGAGTCTAAAGTAAGGAGATCCAAAGTGCACAGCCCATCGCCTGGACAGGAAGGACACCAGGGTTGGTGGAAGTGTAAGCAGAACTTGGGGCAGAGTCCTGATGGATGCCAAAGATGCTCAGCAGCACACACAGAGGTAATAGCAGCAGGAAGGTGACCAGGGCAGTTTCCCCTTAACACCCTCCACCTCCCCAATACCCACCCTCATGGACTCTTACAGGAGCATGGGAAGTGTGTGGTGGGGTGTGCTACAGTTAATCTAATAGACGGGAAAGGACAAGCACAGGGGCTCGTCCACATTCCCTCAGAGCCTCAGGTTCAGAAAATCCTGCACTGCTCAGATCCTCCCCGCAAAAGCACCAGAGATGGGGTGTAGTTTGCAACCTGAGGAAATCAGAAAAGGAATGATGGCCGGAGGTGGTCTCTGACTTAATGCCCGATACCAGCACCCTCACCCTGTCAGCGGCTGAGAAAGCGTATCTCCCTAGCAGGAAGAGATACAGACTGAGGGTACACTTTCTTCTGTTATAATTCCATAGAGACAGGATCTTACTGTGCTACCCTGAACAGCCTGGAACTCACTATGTAGACCAGGCTGTCATCAAACCCAGAGATCCCGGTGCCTCTGCCTTCTGAATACTAGAAGTAAAGATGTGTACCACCGAGCCTAGTTATTTTATTATCCATTTAATTTTTATTGTTTAATTTTTGTTTGTTTACTTATCACATTTGAATTGCATGTATTTGTGTGTGTGCGCGCGCATGCTTGTGTGCGCACACATGTACACTACCACATACATGTGGAAGTCAATGGAAGTGCAGGGGTTGGTTTCTCTCCTTCCATTAATCAGGTTGTAAACCTTGGTAGCAGGTGCTTTACCCACCCACCCCTCTCTCCGGCCCTATTATTTTAATTTAAACTAATTTTGGGGGGGTTCATAGAATGTCCACTTCTGTCTTTTGGTTGTTCGTTGTGTTTTAATTTGTATCTCACTGGAAAAGCTTGTACTGTTTTCCCTTTCTTCCTCTACATCCAATACACAATATTCTTCCTGCTACTACTCATTGTAACCACACACTCTCCTCTCATTCTGATTATACCTCTCCTTTTTTCTCTTGCCTACTCCTTTTCTGCTTCACTACTTAAATATTGAAACCATTGGCACTAAAAAAAAAAATTCCAAAAAAAAACAAGTTGTTGTGGGTTTTTGTTGTTTTGTTTGCAAGAGGAACCCCAGTGATACTGAATCTGAACATTCTAAAGGATGCAGGTGGAGGTCGCACGTGTCTTCCCATGCTGCTATTATTCCTGGGACCACAGTCAACCCACTGTATGTGCTACTGCAGTTGGCTCCACCTCCAACCTAAATCCACACAAAGACAAGGCAACCCATCAGGAGACTCACAGAAAAGAAAACAAAAAGAAATGGGGTGTTGGTTCAGTGACAGAGTCCTCGCCTAGAAAGTGTAAGGCTCAGGGTTCAATCCCCACCATTGGAAAAAATAAAATAAAATAAAACAAAGAAAGAAGGACACAACTGATAAAAGATAAACTATGTCCTAAAGAACACACGTATCCTAACAACTGAGTAAATCATCCAAAGGGGGGAAAAAAAGCCAGGAACCAGCAACGCACATTGGCATCTCACTAGCTGACATCTCAACACCAGAAAACAAAGATGATAAGATAGTTGAAATTCCAGGCAAAGATATCAGAGTCTTACTTTAAAAACTAGAGAGGTCCCCAGAAATCCACAAAGATACCTCCACTATAGACTACTGGCAATGGTCAAGAGAGTGCCTGAGCTGACCTGCTCTGGTGATCAGATGGCCAAACACCCTAACTGTCATGATAGAACTCTCATCCAGTGACTGATAGAAGCAGATGCAGAAATCCACGGCCAAGCCCCAGGTGGAGTCCAATCGGCGAGAGAGAGAGGAGGGATTATATGAGCAAGAGATATCGAAACCATGATTGGATAAAGCACAGGGACAAATAGCCAAACTAGCGGAAACACATGAACTGTGAACCAATGGCTGAGGAGCCCTCATGGAACTGGACCAGGCCTTCTGGATAAGTGAGACAGATGTTTAGCTTGAACTGTTTAGGAGGCCCCCAGGCAGTGAGACCAAGACCTATCCTTGGTGCATGAGCTGGCTTTTTGGAACCTAGGACCTATGGTGAGACACTTCGCTCAGCCTTGGTGCAGGGAGGAGGGGACTAGACTTGCCTCAACTGAATGTACCAGGCTCTGCTGTCTCTCCAGGGGAGATCTTGTCTTGGAGGAGGTGGGAATGGGGGGTGGATTGGGGGGAAGGCTGAGGGGGTGTGAGGAAAGAGGACAGGGAATCCGTGGCTGATATGTAAAATTAAATTAATTATAAAATAAAATATTAAAAATAATAATAAATGTACTGATAAAAAAAACTAATCAAGGACCACTAGAAGACTCTAATGAGCATTGGAATGAAGTAAGAAAATCTACTCAAGACCCAGACAAGAAAGTGATCAGTGTGGGTGAAATGATCAGTACCTTGGAGTGAGGATTTGAACACACAGAGGAAAAAGCCAGCCTGAAAATTGAGCACTGGAGTAGAACCACACAAATTCTGGAAATGAAAGAATGGATCAATAAAATTAAAAGAAAAGACAATGGAAAGCATTGGACACAGACAAGCGCAGTCAGCGGAATGGATTTCAGGACTGGTAGACAAGGCTGAGACAGTGCATAGACATATATAAGAAAGAAAAGTCAACACAAAGGACAAAAGTGTGCAAGAACTCTTAGAAACATTCAAGAAACCAAATTAAGAATCCCTGAGGTAGAGAAAGAATAGAACAAAGTCTAAAGGGCTTAGATAATTAATTTGATGAAATTAGAGCTGAGAGTTCCTGTGGTGATATTGTGTTCCCCAAAATATTGTACACCCTAATAAACTTATCTGGGGTCAGAGAACAGAACAGCCACTAGATACAGAGGCCAGAAAATGGTGACACACACACCTTTAATCCTAGAATTCCAGAGGCAGAGATCCATCTGTATCTCTGTGAGTTCAAAGACACACTGGAAATAGGCAAGCATGGTGACACATGCCTTTAATCCCAGGAAGTGATGGCAGAAAGCAGAAAGGTATATAAGGCATGAAAACCAGGAATTAGAGCTGGTTAAGCTTTTAGGCTTTTGAGCAACAGTTCAGCTGAGATTCATTTTGGATGAAGACTCGGAGGCTTCCAGTCTGAGGAAATAGAATCAGCTGAGGAACTGCCAAGGTGAGGTTGGCTGTGGCTTGTTCTGTTTCTCTGATCATTCGGCATTCACCCCAATACCTGGCTCTGGGTTTGTTTTTATTAATAAGACCCTCTAACAATTCATGTTACAAGTTCCCCGAACTTTGAGGAAGAGATGGACAGGTAAGCACAAGAGATATTTGGAAGCCAAACAGATATGTTGAGAAGAACTGCTCCATGACACATCACAGTACAAGACAAAAAAATACAACAGAAAACACAAACAGCACTGACAGCTGTGGTGGACAAATCACAACTCACATACAAA